CTCAGTGCTTGGGTGAGAACGGGCACCACATCCCTACCCAATGGCTGACTGAACAGATCCTGTAGAATGCATGGTGCAAAGCGAAAGGAGGATTGCTCTCTTTTACGTCTAGGGCATTACTGCTACTAACAGTGAGTAAAGAAACTTCTCCCTTAAACGAAAAGGACACTGTCCAAAATGTGAAAATTCTCACAGCTGCCCCCCTTGACCTGTTGATTGGTCTTCCTGTACACTCAGTTTTCCTCCCTCTTGAAATTCTTTATTTCCTGCAAAATCCTAAGTTAACTGCTCTCTTCTTTCAAGGGTAACTTTAATCACAACAGCCAACTCTAGAGACACAGAAAAGGCAATCAGTTATTTGTCTGTTGTTTAGCTGTAAAACTGTCTTTTCTTCTTTGACATCTTCCTTGGTTCTGTTATCACGCGTGCCTTTCTGTTCAGGGCTGAGGCAATCCGTCTGCAAGCCAGTACCCTCTTGCTGATTCTGCCAAGAATGAGTCATAAGTCAGTCGGCTTGCTCACTTACACCTGATAACCCTCCTTCTCAGAGTCCCTGCTTCTTTTAGCCTGGTATGCAAAGTAGCAGCTAGTCGCCTGGCGATCCCCAGGCAGCTGAAAGCCCCCTGGGTAGGGGAGACACGAAGAAGGAAGGAGTAAGCTGAACTTGACTCGAAGGTTTCCGTCCTTAGTCTTAAAGAAACAAAGGTTTTTCTTCCTAATTGCAACCTGTCCAAAGAACCTATTTTCCCATCACCCTGCATATTACAGCTATGCTGAGAGTTATTAAAATTGGAACATCAGGGCTTCCCTGGTGGCGCAGTGGTTGAGAGTCCGCCTGCCGATGCAGGGGACACGGGTTCGTGCCCCGGTCCAGGAAGATACCATATGCCGCGGAGCGGCTGGGCCCGTGAGCCATGGCCCCTGAGCCTGCGCATCCGGAGCCTGTGCTCCGCAACGGGAGAGGCCACAACAGTGAGAGGCCTGCGTACCACAAAAAAAAAAAAAAAAAATTGGAACATCAAATTTATTTTTATACAGAGGGAATAATCAATACATGTACTTTTCTAATACGGCCTTAAATACTACCCCAAATTTTTAGCTATTTTTTCCCTCTCCTACCCTAAAATATATGTATTTTCTAATAGTTACCTGTCCATTTAATAGCAATAAGAGTACATCAAATTGCCTAGGTCAGGTGTCAGTAAACTTCTGTGTATTGAGGGGCCAGATAGTAGATGTTTTAGGCTTTGCAGGCCATACAGAGGTCCTATGATGGAAGGAAGTATGGCACCCTTGAGAAAAAATATTAGAGGGATTGAAGAGAGTTAAGACGTGCTAATGAGAGCTAACATTTGTGGAGTACCTATTAGTAAGATCTAAGCACTTTACATTGGTCCTCACAACAGTCCCAAGTGAAAGATACTACTATTATTCCCATTTCAGAGATGAAAAAACTGAGGCACCGAGAAGGAACCAATCCAAGGTTACAGACTTAGTAAGTGGTACAGCAGGAATAAGATTAGTTTGGAGAAGCAGGATAGGACCAGAACATGCAGTGATGCACAGGCCTAGTTAAAATTTTTTATTTTTTTGATAAGAGAAAAAAGAAGTCACTGAAGTGTTATTGAAGGAGGAAAGCTGTGTGTGTGTGTGTGTGTGTATGTGTGTGTTAACGTGAACGTATTTGCATTTCAAAACAATCACTTGAACTGTAGCATGAGAACTAGTTGAAAGGATAGGAACAGTGGCTACTGAGAAACCAGTTAGGATGTAAATGCTGTTGTCTGGGCAAGAGCACGAGGTGATGGTAGCAAGACTGGGGAGACGGCCCTGGAGGAGGACAGAGTGGATGTGTCTGAGCTACATTTTGGAGAGCAAGTGGGTGATAAGGGATAAGAAGGTAACAAGAGCCATGTGTCAAGGATGATCCATAAGTGCCTGGCTTGTGTAACTGGATGGATGATGGTGTCATTCTCTGGCGCAGAGAGCACAGGGAGAGGAGCAAACCTGGGCTTGGGAAAGAAGGCCATGAATTTGAGGTATTTTGAGGCATCTCCACTTGGCGATGTTAAGAAGTCAGTTGTATTTGTGGGTCTGGAGCTCAGAGAGGTCTGTGCCAGAGATCTGAATTTGGCAGCCGTCTGTGACAAGCAGGAAACATGGAAATGGATGAGAGCAAGTAAGGAAAGTGAGGAGTGAGAAGATTGCCTAACATGTAGTGAGGGAACCCAAGTTTTCCTTGGCCTGGATTCAGCTCTTCACACCTCTTTTCCCTTACTGATACACACCCCCGCTTCTGAAAGAGCAAAACATGTCCAACCGTTAATCAGGAGGAGAAACGTATCAAGAAAATTTAGGTGGAGAACACGCGGAAAGCACCTTGCCAAACAGCGTTCCCAGAAGCTTGGAAGAATTACTTCGGCTTCCGCAGGAGCTTGTGGTACAGATATGGAATAACTTGAGCATTCAGAGAGGTGGACTCTTTTTTCAAGTTATGATCCCCAGAGCTATTATTTCATCCATAGCCTGCTACGCATTGCACATTCACCAAGGAAAAATACACATCTAGCCCTTACACCGGCTATTCGTGCTATTATTAAAATAGCTCTGGGGCAGACACTTATCCATCATGAGAATTTTCATGAGATAAAAATCTGAACTTTAAAGAAGAGCAAAACAAACTCTTAGTTCATAAGCCAGTGAGGATGAATGTTTCCATCTAAGTTCATTAGTGAAGTTTCTTTCTCGTTCTGATAGGGAGTTGTGAAGTAACTGAGAAATGCGGTGATGAATAAGAGAGGGGAGCTGGATCAGCCATGCCAGTATTTCTGGACTGTTCAGGCAGCAGTATCAATAGAGCAAACCATTATAACTCCAGTTTTGTGACAATCTGGTCACGTCTGTTAAGAGTGTATGTAGGGTTTCCCTGGTGGCGCAGTGGTTAAGAATCCGCCTGCCAATGCAGGGGACATGGGTTCGAGCCCTGGTCCGGGAAGATCCCACATGCCGCGGAGCAGCTAAGCCTTTGTGCCACAACTACTGAAGCCCACGCGCCTAGAGCCCGTGCTCCGTAACAAGAGAAGCCACCACAACGCGAAGCCCGCGCACTGCAAGGAAGAGTAGCCCCCTCTCGCTGCAACTAGAGAAAGCCCGTGCGCAGCAACAAAGACCCAACACAGCCAAAAATAAATTAATTAAATAAATTGAAAAAGAAAAGAGCGTATGTAGAGTGAGTCAGACACATCGCAGCAGGAAACAGGAAACAGATGGCGCACTCAAATTAGGGTAGTCCAGATAGGTTGATTAAAGGGACTCTTTACAGAAGTGTGGGAAGCACAGAGGAAAGCGTCGAGCATAGTGCAGTATCCTGGGGCCTGAAGGGACGTGTGAGAGAATAATTAACAAAACCCAGAAAGAGGAACGCAAAAACGTTTTGTGGAGAAGGTCACCTCGAGAGGATCTGTGATCCTTGATGGAGGGACACAGCCCAGCTTCAAGCGATCCTGCAGGGAGGCAACCAGCAGAGTAAATACCCTGAATGTTCTATCCTTGCTGGGGGCCCCATCAGCCAAGAGCTGATTCAGGCCACGCAGGTCAGAGCCTCCTGGGGCAGAAAGCAGGGTGGAGAAGGGTGGGGAGGAACTGGAGAGAGAAACAAAAGGCAGCAGCACAAAGAGGAGGACTGGCGGGGGCTTCCCTGGTGGCGCAGTGGTTGAGAGTCCGCCTGCCGATGCAGGGGACACGGGTTTGTGCCCCGGTCTGGGAAGATCCCACATGCTGCAGAGCATCCGGAGCCTGTGCTCCGCAACGGGAGAGGCCACAACAGTAAGGGGCCCGCGTACTGCAAAAAAAAAAAAAGAGGAGGACTGGAAAATAAATAACTAAAATCAGTGGATAGAAGTTCCAGCAGTAGGGGTGGGATGGTGGCAGTGAGGTCACATAAGGAAGCCCAAGAGGCTGGCTCAGAAAGTCACAGGTTAGCTTTTTGTGTCCATAATAACATGGCAAGAGCAATTCTAAAACCAGTGGAAGTGATCAGAGTAAAGGTGGGTGACCACCTTTCGGAAATTTTATAGAAATTAAGCAGAACCACGTCACTGCTAAGCATCCTTTCAGAGCTGTGTACTATGGTTCTGTGTTTGTTGGAAAGAAAGTCAGGTAAAGTTAACATCTTGGCAGAAGTACTAAAAGAAAGACGTAGATTTTCTTTGCTTTTAGTAAAATGGATATGTGAAAACCCATTACCAAACTGAAAAATCCCTACGTGCAAAAATATTCACAGCAAAGCGCAAAATGCTGGGCCAAGCTTCATTTCTAACAGGTGGGGAATAGTTAGGAAAATTACAGTATGTTTGTCAACACAATATTGTGCAGGATCAAATAATTATAAATAAACAATCATAAATACAGGAAATCACGAAACAGCATGGAAAATGAATACAATATAACGCTAGGTAAGAAAAGCAGGATCTGAGCAGTGCACTCAGCGGCCCCGCGGATCTGTCTCCTGCTTCAATAGTGTTTGGACGGAACAGACCCAGGGACCACGCCCTTGCTCCAGCCTCTGAGCACCCTCAAACCTTTCCTCCGGTCACAACCTTCCGAATCAGCCACTCAGCGGTCCTCGGCCACCGGGACCAGACAACAGCATTTTTTTTTTTTTTTTTTTATTGGTACGCGGGCCTCTCACCGCTGTGGCCTCTCCCGCTGCGGAGCACAGGCACCGGACGCGCAGGCTCAGCGGCCATGGCTCACGGGCCCAGCCGCTCCACAGCACGTGGGATCTTCCCGGACCGAGGCACGAACCCGTGTCCCCTGCATCGGCAGGTGGACTTTCAACCACTGCGCCACCAGGGAAGCCCCCAACACCATTTTTTGAGACTAACTCCTTACTACCGATCAACCACAAGCTCCTAGATTCGTCAAAATTATTCCAAGGTGGAGGCCACTGTCCCCGTCGTGGTCAACATGCATCTGCAAGCTTCTGACACCTACCTCGCTCTGGGCTTCTATTTCAACCACGACGATGTGGCTCCGGAGGGCTTGGGCCGCTTTTTCCATGAATAGGCTGAGGAGAAGTGCGAGGGCCTAAGTGTCTCTTGAAAATGCAAAACCAGCATGGCGGCTGTGCCCTCTTCCAGGACGTGCAGAAGCCGTCTCAAGATGAATGGGGTAAAACCCAGGACGCGGTGGAGGCTGCCATTCTCGGGGAGAAGAACCTGAACCAGGCCCTTTCGCACCTGCAGGCCCTGGGTTCTGCCCCTGCAGATCCCACCTCTGTGACTTCCTGGAGAGCCGCTTCCTAGAAGAGCAGGTAAAGCTCATCAAGAAGATGGGCAAGGGCTTCCCTGGTGGCGCAGTGGTTGAGAGTCCGCCTGCCGATGCCGGGGACACGGGTTCTGTGCCCCGGTCCGGGAAGTTCCCACATGGCGCGGAGCGGCTGGGCCCGTGAGCCATGGCCGCTGAGCCTGCGCGTCCGGAGCCTGTGCTCCGCAACTGGCGAGGCCACAACAGTGAGAGGCCCGCGTACCGCAAAAAAAAAAAAAAAAAAAAGAAGATGGGCAAGCACCTCTGCAGGCTGGCTGGTCCCCACGCCGGACTCGGCCAGCATCTTTGAAAGGCTCACCCTCAAGCACGACTAGGCGCTTCCAGAGCCCAGCGGCCTCTGCAGAGCTCCTCTGGTGTCAGGGCTTCTGCCTGAAGCCCCTCTCTGCAGCCGCTAGACAGCTTTTTAAACATCCTGGAGCCCTCTCCCAAGTCTTGGACCAATGGAATCAATAAAGCTTTTTGCAGGAAAAAAAAAAAAAAAGCAGGATTTCAAGTTTTATAATACTCTGCTCACAATTTTTTAAAAATATATGAAAAAAATCTTGAATGAAATTACCAAAAATTAAAATAGTTTTATGAAGGTGGTAAAACAATGGATGGTGATCCTTCTTATTTTCCAAGTTTTCTGTAATGTATGATCACATTTAATTTAAAAAACTTTATTCAGTATTGTTACGTCAAATACTTAAATATTTTTCATTTTTTTTATTTAAAAAATTTGTTTAGTTATTTATTTTGGCCACGCCAAGCGGCTTGGAGGATCTTAGTTCCCCGACCAGGGATCAAACCTATGCCCCCTGCAGTGGAAGTGCAGAGTCCTAACCACTGGACGGACAGCCAGGGAATTCCCTGTTTCATTTATTTTAATTACAAGTTAAATATATTATTTTAAAATGCAATAAAAGTTGTACCTTATGGAGGGCTGAAATTTTTCTACATCTTCATCTGGATGGAGGTTACCTGAGTGCATACCTAATAAAAATACTTGTGTTATTTATGACTGACACAAGTTATGCATATTTATATATGTACATGTATATATGTTATACCTCAGTAAAAGAGTTTTTTAAATTGTAATCCACAACACGTTATCTAAGGTATACTGGATAAATGAGGCTGACTGTAATTCTTTCTATATTTACCTTCATTTTATCAATACGACACAGTATGATATTCCTGATTTTTTTTTTTTTTTTTTTTGTGGTACATGGGCCTCTCACCATTGTGGAGCACAGGCTCCGGACGCGCAGGCTCAGCGGCCATGGCTCACGGGCCCAGCCGCTCCGCGGCATGTGGGATCTTCCTGGACCGGGGCACAAACCCGTGTCCCCTGCATCAGCAGGCGGACTCTCAACCACTGCGCCACCAGGGAAGCCTTATATTCCTGATTTTTAACCTCAAAGACAAAAAAAAAAAAAAAAATCTTATAGCATTCCTACCTATCATTGTCTGTTTACTGGAAAACCCTTGTCTCTGGATATAGTACCAAGCTGTCTTGATTGACAAATTGGAAGTCATGACAACAGGATGGTAGGTAATCCCTCAGCCCATAAGATTTCTAGTAATAATAATAGAAATAAAGAGAGAAAACACAGATTGAGACTGGGGATGAACTGCTATTTGAAAACATAAGAAAAATGATCTCCATTCATATTACCACTTGTCATTTTCTTGGTACTTTTTATTCGGAAATTCCTCACAGTAGAACCTATAGGACACAGACACAAAATGCAGTAAGGTCAAATCTTTGTCAGAAGTGGTGCTGGGAAAACTGGACAGCTACGTGTAAAAGAATGAAACTAGAACATTCTCTAACACCATACACAAAAATAAACTCAAAATGGATTAAAGACCTAAATGTAAGACCGGACACTATAAAACTCTTAAAGGAAAACATAGGCAGAACACTCTGACATAAAATGCAGCAGTATCTTTTTTGACCCACCTCCTAGAGTAATGAAAATAGAAACAAAAATAAACAAAAGGGACCTAATTAAGCTCAAAAACTTTTGCACAGCAAAGGAAACCATAAACAAAACAAAAAGACAACCCACAGAATGGGAAAAAATATTTGCAAACAAAACGACCAACAAGGGATTAACCTCCAAAATATACAAACAGCTCATGAAGCTCAATGTCAAAAAAACAAACAACCCAATCAAAAAATGGGCAGAAGATCTAAATAGACATTTCTCCAAAGAAGACATACAGATGGCCAAAAAGGACATGAAAAGATGCTCAACATCACTAATTATTAGAGAAGTTCAAATCAAAACTACAATGAGGTAACCTCACACCACTCAGAACGGCCATCATCAAAAAGTCTACAAACAGTAAATGCTGGAGACGGTTTGGAGAAAAGGGAACAATGCTACACTGTTGGTGGGAATGTAAATTGGTATAGCCACTGTGGAGAACACTATGGAGATTCCTAAAAAACCAAAAATAGAGCTACCATTTGATCCAGCAATCCCACTCCTGGGCATATATCCAGAGAAAACCAAAATTTGAGAAGATACATGCACCCCAGTGTTCACTGCAGCACTATTTACAATAACCAAGACATGGAAGCAACCTAAATGTCCATCAACAGAGGAATGGATAAGGAAGATGTGGTACATATGTATAATGAATATTACTCAGCCATAAAAAAGAATGAAATAACGCCATTTTCAGCAGCATGGATGGACATAGAGATTATCATACTAAGTGAAGTAAGTCAGACAGAGAAAGACAAATATATGATATCGCTTATATGTGGAATCTAAAAAAATGATACAAATGAAGTTATTTATAAACAGAAACAGACTCACAGACATAGAAAACAAACTTATGCTTTCCAAAGGGGAATGGTGGGGGGAGGGATAAATTCGGAGTTTGGGATTAACATATATATGCTACTCTACATAAAATAGATAATCATCAAGGACCTACTGTATAGCACAGGGAACTCTACTCAATAATCTGTAATAAACTATATGGCAAAAAGAATCTAAAAAAGAATGGATATATGTATATGTATAACTGAATCACTTTGCTGTACACCTGAAAATAACACAACATTGTAAATCAACTATACTCTAATATAAACGAAAAATTAAATTTAAAAAATCTTTGTCAGAAATTAGCAATCAGAGCCAGAGCTAGAACATGAGAGTTTTCGAAACACAGTCCTGAGATTCAGATGTGCTAGCTATTCTGTGCTTCTTTAAAAGGCCAGATCCCAAGAATATCAGTCTTCTCAGTGGAAGCTGTCTTTTTATTAAAGTTGGTGTCCATTTAAATGTAAATTTTTGAGTTATTACTAGAAAGAGTATATCTAATATCTCAGACTGTAGGTAGCAATCTCTCCCCAAAGCTACCTGACTGGAGATACTTCCTGATGAACAGGGATATCCTAATTCAAACAAATTGTAAATTTCAGGAACTGTTTCAGAAAACGCTTAGCTTACTCTCTGTGACCTGGAACAATGCCCATTTGGAGATGTCAGCATAAAATGAGAAGTATTATATCACTTTCCCTTGTACCTCTGGCTCGTGTATGCACATGACTTTTTCACTATAAGCCTGTAAAGAAGGTCACTTACTTTCCCGTGTTTCTCATTCTTCACGATTATCACATAAGATGTTTGAAAATATTAAGTAATAATATTATTTGAAGACTCTAAATGCCAAGCGCCCAAATTTACCCTATTTCTTTTTTTCCCCAGCTTTATTGAGATATTATTGACATATAAGCTTAAGATATACAACATGATGATTTGATACCTGTATAATTTGCAAAATGTTTATCACACTAAGGTTGGTTAACACTTCTGTACCCTCCCATAATTACCATTTTTTTGTGTGTGATCCCTGATTTTTTATTTTTTTAATTATTTTATTATTTTTATTTTATTTTATTTTATTTTTTGCTAGCAGAGTTGCAGTCCTTTCAGGAGGCTCCAGCAGAGAATCTGTTCCCTTGCCTTTTCAGCTTCAGAAAAGAGCTTACTGGAATCAAGTGCTAGGACGGACTCCCCTGTCTCAGCTTGGATTGTATGCACACCTATGAACAAATCATTGTACCCAGGAGAAACTGTTACTCTTCCAAGGCTGGCATGCCTAACGTTTCTACGTCTGGAGCCAGTGAGTAGCTTTAACTCCATCTGAACTACATAATGTAATTCTTGAAGGGACTAGTTCTCCAGCACAAACAAGGAAAATGAGGTGCTTTTAGCAGTAGTAGGACTAAGCACTGGTCACGCAAAAACAAGCAAACACAAAAAACCAGTTGTCAGATTCACAGAGATTAAGAGAAAACACGTTCACATTTTTGCTATACAGTCAACCAGGCTGCTTGATCCAAGGGTTACTGAGTACTGAGCACTGGGTGTTGCAAAAGATGCAAAGATAAGCAAGACAAAGCCCTACTCTCTAGGAGCAATCGTCCAAAGCTTTGCTTTCAAACTTTAGTGGGAATAAGGTTCCTTAGGGAACTTGTTTAAAATGCAGGTTCTGGGCTCTCTTCCAGACTTGTTAAATGAATTTTTGGCCCTGGGTTCTGAGAATCTTCATTGTCTTAAAGCAGGTGATTCTAATACAGGTGATCTCTGAACAATACTTTGAGAAACACGTGTATAGGAGGTGTCAGCACATACACATACACACAAAAAATGATGATACAAGGAAAAAGTGGAAATTCTCGAGAGTTTCAAATTGTGTGCTCCAAGGGTAAAGCAAGCAGGGCGTAGTCTCAGCTGTGAGAGATGAATGAAGATTTGGTGGCCATAAAGAGATACATTTTGGTTTTTAATAAGCAGATGAAAGAGCAAGGCGTTCTAAGTGAAGCAGTGTGAGTCAAAGCACAGACCCCTAGGGCCCTCAGTCATCCTTTTTAGAGAGTGGTCTGAATAGGATAAAAATTGCATTCTTGGTAGTAGGCTATAAAAATAACTTAATGCCACCGAATCTGTATACTTAGAAATGGTTAAATGGTAAATTTTGTTATGTATATTTTACTTTTTTTTTTTTTTTAAGTAACTTAAGACCTATTGGTGGAGGGATTCTATCTATATGATAGAAATTCGGCTTGCATCTGGAAGCCCTGATGGTTGGAATCCTCTCAACACTTAAAACACAGCAAATGATCATGGCCTTTTTTTTGTTGTTTTTAAGATTAATTTATTTATTTGGCTGCGCCAGATCTTAGTTGCGGCATGCAGGTTCTTCAATGCAGCATGTAGGATCTAGTTCCCTGACCAGGGATCGAACCCAGACCCCCTGCATTGGGAGCACGGAGTCTTAACCGCTGGGCCACCAGGGAAGTCCCCAGGGTCATGGTCTTTATCAGCAGGAACGTTGTGCAAATATTTGCTCCCTGCTTAGGCTCAGTCATCAGAAAGGATGGGGAGCCCTGGCACTGGGGCAGGATTCTGGAGGCTCCTGCTCTGCCAGCTGCAGACCTTCTGGCAGAGGTCCCGGGGGAGGGGCAGGGCATCCAGGGCAGTGAAAGGCACTTGGGGGTTCAGGGAAGCAACTGCTTTACCAACTGAAATGGAAGTGTTTCAATATTTTCAGAACTGGTCTGACTGTATCAGTGTAAACTGGCTGAACACCAACAATACTCCTGGGTGTTTGGGGCATTGTGTTCTATTTCCAGCACCTGTTTAGCTGCAGGAACGCTTAAAAAGAAGGCTGGATTTGTCTTTTCCTAGCATATCTTACCGAAATGGATCCTCCTCTACAGTTTCACTTTTCCTCTTCTCCAACCTTTCTACCTGCAGTGATCCCCATACACACACTCCCAGGCGCCCAGTTCCCAAGAGTATACCTCAACACCAACACCGGAATGTGTTTCAGGTGCTTCCCAAGTCCCCAGATCAGTCCTTCAGCATCTCCCTTACACACCTACCCAAGCTCTTCCCTTATATCAACTTGCCTGACAGCCCACCCAAGAAACAGACCTGATAAATCAAGATGAAGACTTGTACTTCTAATGATGACCTGTGAAGGCCTCTGTTGTCCAGAGTGGTAGACACACCCCTGTTGCTGTAATTTCCAGGAGAATGGTTGCTGGGGTTAGGAGCTATTTTTGAGAATAGAGTCGTGTGACATGGCTCATCTCTTAAAGCACATCGTGAGGATTTCCACTCGCAGATGACATTTAGTACAGCCGCCCCTCAAATATCTTTGCCCAAAGGAGGCAGGATGACTAAGTAAAATAACATTCACCAAGAATCCCAGAACTCCAGTGACTGCAACCTCATTTTACATGATCCCAAATGTGTCAGCACGTGTTCTGTCTCTAACCCCTTTCCTTTCCCACACTCTCTCTTAGGCAATGAAACAATGGAATTAAAAAGGTGAAGTAGGGCTTCCCTGGTGGCGCAGTGGTTGAGAGTCCGCCCGCCGATGCAGGGGACGCGGGTTCGTGCCCTGGTCCGGGAAGATCCCACATACCACGCAGCGGCTGGGCCCGTGAGCCGTGGCCGCTGAGCCTGCGCGTCCGGAGCCTGTGCTCCGCAACGGGAGAGGCCGCAACAGTGAGAGGCCCGCATACCGCCAAAAAAAAAAAAAAAAGGTGAAGTAACCAGATGCAATCAGGTATCCTGAATTGGATCTTGGAACAGAAAAAGGATATTAGTGGGAAAACTGGTAAAATGCAAATAGATTTCTGTAGTTAATAGTATTGTACCAATGTTAATATTTTAGCTTTGACAAACATAGTATGTTATATAAGATACTAACATTAAGGGGAAGCTGGGCGAAGTGTACATAGGAACTCTCTGTACTATCTTTGCAACCTTTTTGTCAATCTAAAATTATTCCAAAATAAATTTTTTTTAATAAATTTATTTTATTTATTTATTTATTTTTGGCTGCATTGGGTCTTCGTTGCTGCGCACTGTCTTTCTCTAGTTGCAGGGAGCGGGGGCTACTCTTCGTTGCGGTGTGTGGGCTTCTGACTGCGGTGGCTTTTCTTGTTGCAGAGCACGGGTTCTAGGCGCACAGGCTCAGTAGTTGTGGCTCGCGGGCTCTAGAGCATGGGCTCGGTAGTTGTGGTGCACGGGCTTACTTGCTCCGCGGCATGTGGGATCTTCCCAGACCAGGGTTTGAACCCGTGTCCCCTGCATTGGCAGGCGGATTCTTAACCACTGCGCCACCAGGGAAGCCCCCAAAATAAGTTTATTTTTAAGAAAGGTCAAGAAGGAAGAGAATCTAGTCCATAATTAGATTCCATTCAAAGAATGACTGCATTCCAATGATGCCACTAACACCCTCGGTGTAAAATCTTCCTCCAGGTCATTCAAAGCAAGGCAAACTGGCATTCTGGTGTTTTAGCAACAGCCCACAATGCATAATTGTTAAAAACATTGCACAAAAAAAGCAGTCCAAAAAACAATTAGAACAAAACACTAAAACATTTTAAAGAAAATATGTTTATATTGATTTAGATTACAGATATGAAGAGAAAAATTAACCCCAATAGTTGATTTACTTTTGAGAATACCTGTGGATTTCATCAAACTGTTGCTTGAAGTACCTCCAGGAATGAGACAAGGGAAAGGAGGGGAAATGTATACGTTTGACTCTATATACTTTTTTTTTTTTCCTTTTTGCGGTACGTGGGCCTCTCACCGCTGTGGCCTCTCCCGCTGCGGAGCACAGGCTCCGGACGCTCAGTCTCAGCGGCCATGGCTCACGGGCCCAGCCGCTCTGCGGCATGTGGGATCTTCTCAGACCGGGGCACGTACCCGTGTCCCCTGCATCGGCAGGCGGACTCTCAACCACTGCGCCACCAGGGAAGCCCAACTCTATATACTTTTGTACTGCATGACTTTGAATTTTCATTTTCATTTTTTTACAATGAAAATGTATTATTTTTATAATTGTTTAAACAAAGATTTTTTCTTTCCAGTAGCAGGTTATGTATCATGTGGAAGAGATAGCTATGTTTGAAATGGAACACCAGCAACAATGATAACTATAAAATAAGAGAAAGGCAGTAATCAAAAAGAAAGAAAAACAGGGAAGGAAGTTTGCTAGAGAACACATCCAAGATGTTCATGGTGCTTATTACATATAAGATGGATTTTTTCACTTCTGTATTTTGTTTTCTATGATCAATATGTGTTTTTTCATAATTAGTAATATTTTTTAAATTAAAATTACAACCTATACATACATGTATTTATCAAAATTTTGGTACATGTACACATGCTCCTACGTGGCTCTTTACACTTGAGTAAATGGCAAATTTCATAATATTAATCATAAACTAGCTTCAGAAAAAATTCCTGTATCAAAAAAAAAAAAAAATAGGCCTCAAGACCTTGGGCCTTGATGCCTAATTGGTTTAGTTTCCTTTTCAAAGTTATTTAGAAAAAATATTTAGCTGTGTACAAGGGCTGCTTTCCAAAATTCTAGAAGTAATGCTCAGGGAGATGCTGTTTGGATATTTCTGTGAAGTGTCTGAAACCAAACATTTGCGAAGTATTTTCGAAAGAAGAACTTCAAACCTCTGGTTTTCTCTCCCTGTGGTTTCTGTTCTCATCTCCCCTTGAACATCCTGAGGCACTGCAAACAAAACAAGCCCCAAGTCACATCCAACCTCTTAGCTCCTTCCCAGTCCCAAAATTCTCCTCCTCCAACCTTGCCCTGGAACAGATAGCTAGTGGGAAGCAGCCACATAGCACAAGGGAGATCAGCTTGGTGCTCTGTAACCACCTAGAGGGGTGGGATAGGGAGGGTGGGAGGGAGACGCAAGAGGGAGGGGATATGGGGATATATGTATACGTATAGCTGATTCACTTTGTCATACAGCAGAAACTAGCACACCATCGTAAAGCAATTATACTCCAATAAAGATGTTTAAAAAAAATTTATGTTGTATATATTCCAAATATTAATAAAGCAGTTTCATTGGAAAAATAAAAAAAAAAAACAGGGCTTGATTCTCTCCAAAAATAACTGATTCTCTCCAGTTAGATCTGGAGGGGATTTTGCTTCCCCCACCCTAGGAAAGCACTGGAGCAGGCGGGTCGCATTCTCAGAGGTAAGGGGAACATAAACGCCAGGCAGAGGAGGAAGCTCTCAGGGAAAGCCGTGTGGCAGCAATAGCCCCCTGGAGCAGAGGAGAGAGAGATTAGCAGCTGAAGTGAGTGTAAACTTTGGAAGGATATTTAAAGGGGATTTTTAGGAAAGTCGGCCTTGGAATATGCTGCATCCCCCAGCCTTACCCCAGAATGGCACCTTCGTCCCAAAGTCTCTAAAAAACCTGAGTCCTCCATTTATTGGCTGTATGGCCCTGGGCAAATCAATGTACCTCTCTGTTTATTGATTTCCTCATCTGTAAAATGGGGATATGATTGCACCTACTTTATAAGGGTTGTTGTCAGGATGACCTGAATTAATCCTATTCCATAACTCAGACAATGCCTGACTACACTGTAAGAGCTACATAGCTATGTATGAGTCAGCTACTGTTTTTCTGGGCCCTCATAGTTCAACTAAAGCTGCTTTTAATGTACCCTGAGCAGACTGGCTCAAAAGTTACCTTGTAGGGCTTCCCTGGTGGTGCAGTGGTTGAGAGTCTGCCTGCCGATGCGGGGGACACGGGTTCGTGTCCCAGTCCGGGAAGATCCCACGTGCCGCGGAGCGGCTGGGCCCGTGAGCCATGGCCGCTGAGCCTGCGCGTCCGGAGCCTGTGCTCCGCAACGGGAGAGGCCACAACAGTGAGAGGCCCGCAAAAAAAAAAAAAAAAAAAAAAGTAACCCTGTAGATTTGAGCTGCTATTTCAAGTTGGGTGACACGGCCCACCCAGTCTCCTGACCACTCCTTGCTCCCAACCTTAAGCAGCACCAAGTGCTGTTGCTCCATCTTTTATTGATTGATTGATTTTTGAAGTCTTTATTGAATTTGTTACCATATTGCTTCTGTTTTGTGTTTTGGTTTTTTGGCCGTGAGGCATGTGGGATCTCAGCTCCCCGACCAGGGATCGGATCGAACCCACACCCCCTGCATTGCAAGGTGAAGTCTTAACCACTGGACAACCAAGGAAGTCCCGCTCCATCTTTTAAAATGTCTCCATCCTCTCCTCTCCAATGCCTTAAGTGATTCATTGACTCTTGCTTAGATGGCTGCGATAGCTACCAACTTGTTCTTCCTTTTCTCAGGACCTTCTAACCTTGATATCCTTCAAAATGGTGCTAGAGATTCTCTAGAATACAGATCTGTACACATCATCCCCCAGCTTAAACCCCTCTGAGCATGTCAGCAGTCACTGTTTTCGACTCAACCTCTGATCCTTAAGTCCTGCTATTTTCCACCCACCTACGTCATCATTGTCAGTAAACATTTTGCACTAGCGTGACTCCAGGCTTTTCCATGTGTTCTCTCTTTTCTATGGATTGATCTTCCTATTATTCTGTAACTAATAAGTTGCTATTTACCTTCAAGACACTAATAAAAAATTTCCCTTCTGTGTTTAATCTTTCTCAGCAACCCTAGGCAAAACTCGTCATTTCTTCGTCTCTGCTTCCATTTCACTTGGTACATAGCCCTGCCTTTGCACTTAGCCGGTTGTGCTGGAATTGTGTGTTTATGGTCCTGTCTTTCTCAGTGGAATGTGATCCTCTCAGTGACAGAGACGGTGACTAATTCCTTATTGGCCAGAACCGTGCCCACATGCCTGGCACATCAAAGATGTTTAATAACAGTGTGATGAGTGGATGAATGAATAAATGAGTGGATCAGGTGACATCTACATTGGTAGGAGAGTAAATACAGTTAAAAAAAAAAAGGTAGCAAGTAGTATACAGGATCCACCAATAGCCTTGTGACTTTGGGTAAATTTCTTATTCCTTGTGCCTCAGTTTCCTCATCTACAAAATGGCAACAATAAACCTTCACGGTTGTGTGATGATTAAATTCATTAATAAACGTAAAGTGCTCAGAAGAGTGCCTCTATGTGCATTAGCTGCTGTTGTTTTTTTTTTGTTTATGGAGAGAGAATTATTGTAAACTCCATGAGAGAGAGGCACTGTGTCCTGACTTATCATTTAATTCCTAACATCTGCCACAATGCTTCATATAGAACAGGAACTCAATAAAGATTTGTGAATAAATATCAAAATAATTTTTAAAAGAACAAAAGAGAAAGGAATGAAAAAACCACCAACCAAACAAACAAACCACAAAGGGCAAATGGGAATGCATTTGGCACAAAGTACAAAGATGCTGCTAAGTCAACTCAGTTCTTCACCACTGGGCTAGATGACAAGGTGTACTTGGAGTCCCTGAATCTTTCCTTTAACCCTCATGAGAACTTTGACTCTGTCCACCTCAGTCAAGAGTGTTTTTTTAAAAGACAGTGATGGGGAGGGACTTCCCTGGAGGTCTAGTGGTTAAGACCCGGAGCTTCCACTGCAGGGGGTATGGGTTCAATCCCTGGTCGGGGAACTAAGTTCCCTCATGCCCCTAGGTACAGCCAAAAAAAACCCCACAGAAAGACAGTGAGAGGGAAAGGGATACTGCATACAGGGAATGATTTAACACAAGACATTAAGAGCCAGGAGAGCCTGTGTTTTCTTCTGCAGCCCACGGAATCATGACCTGCTGAAGCCACATGTTCTGATCCTCAGCTTGATCTATAAAAATCAAACTCTAGGGCTTCCCTGGTGGTGCAGTGGTTGGGGGTCCGCCTGCCGATGCAGGGCACACGGGTTCGTGCCCCGGTCCGGGAAGATCCCACATGCCGCGGAGCGGCTGGGCCCGTGAGCCATGGCCGCTGAGCCTGCGCGTCCGGAGCCTGTGCTCCGCAACAGGAGAGGCCACAGCGGTGAGAGGCCCGCGTACCGCAAAAAAAAAAAAAATCAAACTCTAAGTACGTGCATGCCTGCCTGCAACCAGGCTATGCGATCATGACTTCAACAATCACTTGTCACCTGCATTGCAGGAACAAAGTCAAAATGTAAGGGTATTGTCTCAGTTTACACTACTATACCAAATCACCATAGACTGGGTGGTTTAACAACAGAAATTTCTTTCTCACAGTTCTAGAGGCTGGAAGTCTGAGATCAGCCCAGCATGGTTAGGTTTCGGTGAGAGCCCTCTTCTGGGTTACAGACTGTTGTCTTCTCATCATATCTTCATACGGCAGGAAGAGAGCCAGCTGGCCTCTTCTTATATAAGAAGAGCCTTCATCATGAGGGCTCCACCCTTATGACCTAATTACATCCCAAAGGCCCTACCTCCAAAACTATCACATTGTTATCAGGGTTTCAATATATGAGTTGGGGTGGGAGGCAGATGTAAATGTTCAGTCCATTGAAGGTGATTTGTTTCTTTATGTGTGGAGAGGAGGGGCAAAACTTCATCTCTCCCCATCTTAGGTTCTTAGGTTTTCGGCTGGGGCTCTTTAGCAAAAAGACAGATTAATAAGGGAAAAACAGTTTATTCATGGGTGCAGTACACATCATGTGGGGAAAAACTTAACATGAAGAGTAACTCAAAGTGGTGGCTGAGTAGTCTGGCTTTTATATAACATATTCAACAAAGAACAGTACATTTGTAGCAAAGTCACAGGACAAAGGAACATAGTTTTAGGCTTCCAAGTGCAGCAAACTGTGGGAACGTAAATATATGGGAGGAAACTAATGAAGTCAGGTTTGTCTGTGGATTCCCCTGCTGCCGTCTCTGGGCTCATAGAACTTATCTCCAGGAAAAGGAGAATTTATATCTTGCCTATAGGCGGAAAAGGGAGCAACTAGGGAGAGCCTTTCCTGTGTTCATTGCTTCTCAACTGCCTTAAGCTCAAAATAATGTTTAGGTCAAAGAGGTTTATTTTGTGGTGATGTATTCTGGTCTCCTTCATTTACTACCCAAAAAGGCCAAGAGAAGGAGAAAAATAAATGGGAAGAATTACTCTGTCTCAGTCCACTAGTTTGAACCCCAAACTAGAAAAAGAAAGCCAAGGGAGAAATTATAACCAGATTATAAACTCCATGAGGAGACTGTCAAAGTATAAGTTTCAAAAAGTTAAAAATACCATTTTCATAAAAATATATAATGAACATATGTCAAAGATTTTATTCAACTAATTAATAGGGAGCCAGCAAGACGGTTAAGACTGGTTCCTACTTAATGAAAGAATGTTAGAATAAGATTGCTACACTAGATATAAAACTGGTTAATGTTCTTCAAGGCAATTAATTGTAGCCTTTGGAGTTATCTTTTCTAATGGACAAAAATTATTTGCATCTTTATGGGAAAAAACATGTAACTTCACTATGATTGGGCCCTTTAATCAAGAGTAAACAGTGGACTTCCCTGGTGGTGCAGTGGTTAAGAATCCCCCTGCCAATGCAGGGGACACGGGTTTGAGCCATGGTCCGGGCCCGCAGAGCAACTAAGCCCACGAGCCACAACTACTGAAGCCCACGTGCCTAGAGCCGTGCTCCACAACAAGAGAAGCCACCGCGATGAGAAGCCCGCATGGCAATGAAGAGTAGCCCCTGTGCGCAGCAACCAGAGAAAGCCTGCGCGCAGCAACAA